TGGGTAAGTGAAAATAATTGGTTAGTTCCCCCGCCCATTTTTATACCTAGAGTTATTAACAAAATGGTTGCAGAGAAGGCCTCGGGTACGTTGATTATTCCAGAGTGGAAGTCATCTCCATATTGGCCTTTGATATTTGAAGGAAACTGTTTCAAACATTTTGTAAAATATTATGATTATTTACTTAATGAAAAATTAATAACGCATGGCAAGAGTAACAAATCAGTATTTGCAAAATTTCCATTGAAATTTAAGATGTTGGTATTGAGGATTCAATTTTAAAATTGACAGTAAGTGTGCAAGATTATTTAATATATGTATTCTAATGGCACTAAGTATTTTTTCCAGGATTAGGAGTGCAGTTACATGTAAACAAAGCAGTTACTGAGAGTGGCATTTCATTGGGCAGCAAGTTGGGATCTTTTACTGAGCATATGTGTGGATATCTTTTATCATCGAAGAGTGACGGTACCAACAAGGCATACAAACATAGTTTTCAACGATGGAAGAAGTTCATAAATGAGCATGAGCAAAGTGAAATTCCAGCGCAGCCGGTGCACGTTGCCTTGTATATTACTTATTTGCTAGATTCTGGTGCGTCGTATTCTACAGTGAATAGTGCTATTTATTCGATCAAATGGATGCATGAAATTAGTGGTTATTCAGATCCTACCGAAAATTCTTTTGTGAAATCGTTACAAGAATCAGCAAAACGTTTAACTGGTAGACCGGTGCGCAGGAAAGATCCAGTCGACCGGCAGATGTTACAAGATTTGTGTGATTTGTATACTGACAGTACAGATGTTCTTTTATTGAGAAATTTATCTATGATTTTGATAGCTTTTGCTGGTTTTTTGAGATTTGTTCTCTGAAATGTAATAATATCACTGTTGAAGAAAATTATTTAAAAATTTTTATTGAAAAATGCAAAAACGATCAATATAGAGATGGAAATGAAGTACTTATTGCAAAAGGTATCACAAGTGCTTGTCCATATGCTATGTTTCTACGTTATACAAAAGAGGCGGAAATTGATTTATGTTCTGATCATTTTCTTTCTAAGCCCGCTTTCAGAAGTAATGGTTTTTCAAAATTGATATTTAAAAACAAGAAGCTTAGTTATACTGCAGCAAAGCAAAATATTGTTACTCTTTTAAAAACGGTAGCTCCAAATTTAAATATTGGTCTCCATTCTCTCAGATCAGGGGGTGCAACTGCTGCTGCAAATGTTGGTGTTAATGAAAGGTGTTTACAAAGGCACGGGCGATGGAAATCGGTGTCTAGTAAAAATGTTTATGTCAAAGACTCTTTAGAAAAAAGGTTACATGTATCAAAACAATTGTTGTTGTGAGTTACATACATATATATATATATATTTTTAGTCCCTTTCTCTCCCTTTCTTTGGTTATGTCTATTGTCAACCTGCTCGGTGCGCTACAATGCATATTAAGGTGTTGCGTTTATATATAAAGTTGCATAGTGTAATGAAGTGTGGACTTACATTTTTTCGCGTTACGAAGTATAGCGAAAAATAATTGTCCTGACGACATGTAAACGAATACGAAAGTGTGGTGTTACTAAGGTAAAATTGTTATGTAGGTTTCAGCCAATGAAATGTCAGTATTGAGAAAACGTGTTCGATTGTATCTACGGGTGGTTAGTAAGAGTTCACTTTCTAGCGCACGCTTTCCCGAGCAAGTCGTGTTTTAAATTTTGTTTTGAAATAAAATAGCTGAATTAATAATTTTTTTTAAAAACTAAGAATAAGCTATTTGGATGTTTAAATCGTGAGTGAGGGTCCGCCACTCAATTTTTTCGCTTACTCTGCATTTGCCGCGGATACACAGGTTTCCATAGTTTTTTCAAAATATTTTTTATCTATGGTTTTTCCTGGGCGGCAGAGGAGGCTTTAAGACTTAGATTCTATTGCATCAATATAAAAAGTTGTTGTGTGTATGTGTTTGTGCCTGTTTGTTTGTTGGTAAAATGTTATATCAAAACTGCTTTGTTTGTATGTTTGAATATATTCAATATAATAAACCTGGCGTCAACCTGCTCGGTGCGCTACAATGCATATTAAGGTGTTGCGTTTATATATAAAGTTGCATAGTGTAATGAAGTGTGGACTAATGAGTGGAGTGCAACAGAAACAAAATACTGTGTTGATAATTGTTTTCCAAAATAAGTGATCAATTCCACAAAATACTTAATTGCTGAAGCTGCTTGAAATAGTTACAATCACTCCCGAGCATTTAACAATAAAAAAATTCTCCAGACAGTTAATGATTAGAATTGTTCAGAGTCTAGGTTAGGGACATCAAAATATTTATTTTCCCTAGTCAATTATTTGATTGCATTATTCGAACGATGGGGTGAAATATTTGGAAACATTTTCCAAAAATGATTTTTTAAAACAGACATAATGACATATTTATTACTCAAAAATCCTTTTTCCTGAATCTATTCAAAATAATAAACCTCAAAATAACAATATACACGTAGTCTCTAATAAATTGTTGTATTTTAAGCTCAGCTGAGCTGAAGGATCAAGTGAGCTTTTCTGATCGAAATTTGTCTATTATCTGTCATCATTGTTCTCATTTTCTTTTCAGACACACTTTCATCTTTTCAAGAACCAAAGGGCCAATTTCAACCAAACCTGCCAAAATGTTTTTTTTGGGTAAAGGGGATCCAGATTTGTTCAAATTAAGGGCAACATATCTTCGAAGGTGAGATAATTATGACTTCATTAAAAACTAATGGCATCATTAAAAAAATCTTCTTGTCAAGAATCACTGTGCATGAAAATAAACTTTTGTGGAATCATTGTGAGCTAGTTTAGATTCAAGTTGGTTCAAAACATGACCTTCAGGAGTAGGATGGTGCCGCAAAGGGAGATAAAAAATTTGCATGGGAACACATAGGGAAAATCTTTAAATATCTTCTCAAGAACAGCAAAGCCAAAAGTCTTATCATTATGCAAATATTTCCATTTCCAATTGTTTTCTCTATGATAAACACTACAAATTTTTCTCTTTAATTCCTGTGGCATGTATATATCTCTATTGAAATACAACTGAAAAGTGTGTCAAATGTGTCAAATGGCTTTGCCCGTTATGCAAATTATCCCACATTTCCCACTTTCGTTGATGCCCTAGAATAGTCTCCTAACTAGACCGTGATTCCTTAAATATCTTTAGTTTGTGTATACTCAAGTTTGTTAAAATCATGACTTCCAGGGGTAGGGTAATGGGACACAATCGGGGATCAAAGTTTTGAATGGAAACACATCTGAATTTTTTTTAAATCTTCTTCTCAAAAACCACTGGGCCAGAAAAGTTAAAACTTATGTGGAAGTATCCTAGGGTATAGTGTAAATTCTAAATTGTTCACAAATTGAGACCACAAATGAATATGTTCAAATTATGACCCATATGGCAGGGCAGGGCATCATATGGGGAAAATCTAGTGAAGAATAGGCAGGGCCAAAATTACCCAAGTAAGAGTAGTGGCTCATGGGCCTCTTGTTTAAATACGAAAATATTCAAAATGTTGTTTCATTATTCAATTGTTGGTTCATTCAACTGATAGTCGAATAGTCAACTATTCATTAACATCCCTAAAAAAAATCAAGTATGTTTCATTGATATGGACAATTTGTTCCAAACCCAAGCACCTAGACTCCCTATGCATTTCAGGTTATATGTGCCACCATTGCCTTCGGAATGGGGAACCGGATGTCAGACTCGTTATTCATTACTCCTTGCCAAATCGGGATCCGGGTTAGAATAGGTCCTCAGTACCCCCTTGCTTGTCGTAAAAGGCGACTAAATGGGGCGGTCCTTCGGATGAGACCGTATAAACCGAGGCCCCGTGTCACAGCAGGTGTGACACGATAAAGATCCCTCCCTGCTCAAAGGCCGTAAGTGCCGAGCATAGGCCTAAATTTGCAGCCCTTCACCGGCAATGGTGACGTCTCCATATCAGTGAAATATTCTGGAGAGGGACGTTAAACAGTATACAATCAATCAATCCTTGCCAAAGTCAGTGGAGGGATTTTATCAGGAGGCGGATCGAGCCGGGAGGGATGGACTGCTAGCCCACTGTATTATGTACTACACGTACCAGAACGTCAAAAGGCAGAAGAGGATTATAGAGAATAAGTAGGGGGGTCTGTTATAATGTACTACACATACCAGGATGTCAAAAGGCTGAAGAGGATTATAGAGAATGAATAGGGGGGTCTGTTATAATGTACTACACATACCAGGACGTCAAAACACTGAGGAAGATTATAGAGAATAAGTAGGGGGGTCTGTTATAATGTACTACACATACCAGGATGTCAAAAGACTGAGGATGATTATAGATAGTAAGTAGGAATGGATTCTGTAGCAAAATGATATTTTTATACACATATGAAGGTCGATACTTAAACTGTACATATTGGAAACATGTTTGATTTTGTTCAAAATTAAACAGCCACATTTTGACTTTAAATCTAAAATGTTGATTACATGTATATGATTTGTTTCTTCACAGTGGATCAGGCAGCCACATTTGATTCCAAAAGAGTTCACATAGACAATTTCTTCAGGATGGTGCAGTCCTGTGAGAATGTGGCCGACTGTCGACGATCACAGCTGCTTAATTACTTCGGAGAACGAGACTTTAATAGAGAGGAGTGTGGGAACTTCCGTGGAGCTATTTGTGACAATTGTGTATCTAAGTTAGTTTTATTCTTTGTTTTTGTTTGGATTTTAGTGTATATACCCGCTACATGTGTAATAGTTTATGTTAGTGTAAGCGTGGGTTCTTAATAGAACTGGCTCCACTTGCGAACAGTACCTGATATAACATCAGAATTCTCAAAACTGACAATATGTTTACTTTTATCTGATTTTTTACTCAACATATTTCACAGTGCTTCATTTCATTCCACATTGCAAATGTTAATAGTTTTTCTGGTATTTAAAAATGATATGATTTTGGGGGGTTTGCATCTACAGTTTTGGATGATTGATTAATCAATTTCTTATAATTTAAGGAATCCTTCCAACTCCGTGATGTCACAGATGATGTCAAGGAGATTGTGAAATGTGTGAACGATCTGACCGTCAATGGAAGACGGGGAAACGACTACACCCTTATTTACTTTGTGGATATATTTAGAGGTAAAGATAGATTACGGAGAATCTTTCTCAGAAACCATTTGTAGTCACTGTGGAAACCATTTGTAGTGGAACCTCATTAATCTAGAACTTGTTTTTTCAGCAAATTGTCTGGATTATGAAATATCTGGATTAATGAGAAATATACATGTTTTAATAATTTGAATTCTGCTACCTACAAATTTTGTCTGGAAAGCTAATCTTCTGCACGGCCAGGAACACGTTAAGATCCAAGACAGTACCGTTGTCAGAAACATTTAAAGTTAAGCACTAAAAATGGCTCGTTGTCATGAAAATACAGGTAAGGTTATGACAAAAACTGTCCGGTGTCATTACTTTAGAAGACAGGTCGTGAGCAGTTTTTCATTTTTTAAGTTAAATAATTTCAACCAATGTCTGAAATTGCAATGGGGAACAGGACTTACATCCCTTTTGGTGTTGAATGAATTTCAGCCGTTAAAATGAAGTAATAAAAGAGGAGTTTGCGTTGGCGATATTAAACCCTAGTGAAATCAAACGTGGATTTCATTCATTTTCCTTCTGAGATGTTATATTTTTTGTAAATGTAATATCATATATATACCAATTGATGCAGTCAGTATGAAGACATGATATAAGCATTTACGGGAAAAAATAAAACAAATTATAACTGAAATATTTGATTTATTATAAATTATGTCCGTTGTCATGACAAGATACGAAAATTCAGTCCGTTGTCATCGGTCCGTTGTCGCTACTTTACTGTACGTATACACTATAAAGGAGGTTGATTTTAGTTTTTTTTTAATGCTTTGATAAATTTCAAACATGCCTTCAATGGGTGAACTAATTAGTCATGAGAAACTAAACGTATGCCATTTTGTATATTCCATATAATGTTCAGCTTTTGTTTGTCATACATATGGGCTTCAGCCTTTTTCCTTAAAAAACTAATTTCAAAGTGAAGGAAGAAATATGCACGCTAACTCTCGATTCCTGCCTACATTTTGCACTCATTTTGTCTAATACTAATGGCAATTTGGCCATAAAATCGTTTTTATTACAAAGAACAGTTAAGTACGGCTCCGTGTAAAAATCATGCAGAAGGTGATTCATGGGGGGTTTCAGAATTTCTTCAAACTTTGCATGTTGGTAGAGTATGCTAAGATACTCCCAAAAATATTATATATTTTTTTTAATTCTGCCATTGGTATCCATGGCAACCGATAAACTGTTTTGGGCAAAAAATGGCTGAAATTTCCTCTAAAAACAGGCAAAAATACCAATAATGAAGATTAAATGAAAAGAAAACTAAACAATAAAACACATTTATGTTTATTTCTTATTAAATTACAGCATGAGTAGTTACTATCCATATCTAGTCAAAATATTTTTATGACCAGTAATGTGTTCTAATTTTAAGCTAAAAAGGGGAGATAATCCATATTGGCAAAAAATGTAAAATATCCATTTTTTAGGATTTTTATCTATCAAAAAAATCTAAAAACCCCACAGCCAAACTAAAAAGCCATGCTAGTTTCATAGAGACTATAGTCTAAAGTCAATAAAATTATTAAAACATTTTTGTGCAAATGATTATTAATTTCCCAAAACAACTGATGAATTTTGTACAAAAATGGTAATTTCACTTTTTTTGTCACAGTCCAATATATGCCATATATGTTTGCATGTAAAAAATAAATAGCATTTCAAAACCATATTTTTATATTTCCATTTTCAAATACAATCAAATCATTTACTTTTCATAATTAATCCAAATATTACCATGTCCAATAATAGTTTTTAATTTTAAGCTGAAAGGGGGAGATAATCCATGTCGAGAAAACATGAAATTTTCAATTTTAAAAAGATTTACAGCTAAATTCAGCTATATGATAAAAAATTTAAAGAAAAATACACTACAGCCAAACAGAAAGGCAGTGTTTATTTCCTAGACACCATACCTTATGGCAAATAAAATATTAAAAACATTTTTGTGCAATTGATTATTAATTTCCAAAAGCCATTGAAGAGTTTTATACAAAAAATGGGAAATTCACTTTATCGTTACGGTCAAATAAATGTCATGTATATATTTATGCATGTTAAATTATAAATAGCATCTCAAAACAATTTCTTTATAGTTCCAAATCCAAATACAACACAATTATTTATTTTCATTAATCAAATTATATCTATATCTACAGTATTATTTCTAATTTCAAGCTGAAAAGGGGAGATAATTCATGTTGACAACAAACAACAAAATATCATTTTTTGAGGATTTCAGTTATCAAGAAAATAAAATATATCTATGATTTAAAAAATAGCCAAACAAAAAGGCTGAGTAGGTTTCATAGATACCATACCCTATGGAAAATAAAAAAAAATCGTGTGCACAAAAATCATTGTGATTAATAATTTCACCAAAAAAAGAAGTAGCATCATCTTTTGTCAGAGTCCAATATATATACACCATGTACACACGTCAGTACATGTTTACATGTAAGAATATCAGTTTACATTTTAAAATAAATTCCTTTACATTTCCAAATTCAAATACAAAACAAATTATTTTTTCTTTAATGAACAGTAAAATGTAAAAAAAACATTTGAAAATATTAATCATATTAATATTGATTATTAGATACATTTATCATATAATCATTGTATATGTAAACACAATTTTTAAAGTTTTACATCTTTGTAAGGTGCAGGCATGCCACTCAGAATATCACTAATCTCCCCTGCTTCTCTTCTGTAGTAAGTGACTGTCCTTTGTTTGTTAGCCTCTTCTAAAAGCACTTAAGATCCTTGGGTAGAGAATTGCTGCCTGATTAACATTATCCAAAGTACCGTCATAGAATCCACTGAACTCTAATCTCTGCTTTTTGACAGCTTTAAATATCTTATTTTACACTATTCCTAAAATAATAATTACAATATACATGTACATGTACTTATCATTCATCAATTTAGAATTCTTTAGTTTATGCTACATTGTTATTAAGGTAAAAAATGGTTATTTTGATTTTATACATTACTTTACATGGAATATCAAGTTTATATAATGCAGTAATTTCATTAAAAATCTATAAATGGTTGCATGACATATATTCTCCCACCTTTGGAGTCTTATTAGTTGGTGGTGTTCAATGATGTTTTCTTGCTGTCTGTAATAAATAGTGTAACCTTTTCCTTCAAAACCATGATGCAGCCCATCGCATACATTCTGTGAAAATAAAATGGGGTTTAATTCATCTAAAAAACAATAATACTAATTTATGAAATACAGTAAAACAAAGTTATAACAAAGTCACCGGGACCTATGAAATTACTTTGCTACATCAATTAGTTATATCCATATAAGGAATTTGTTAAATTTATATAGCTGGGGATCTAAAATAACTTCGCTATATCTGTGAATTCGCTATATCCGTGTTCGTAGTAAACGAGTTTTGCTGTATGTGAAATATCTTTTCTACTAGTGTATTTTTCATCATTTGCAATATGTCTCCAGTTTTAACTTTAGTACAATTTAAACAGAATCTACACTACTTGAGGCTTCTTCTAATGAATTCCATATCAGTACAATATTAATCATGGCTTTGCTGTTCTAGGGAAGATTCTCCCCTATATATTGCAATGTGAAACTTTGATCCCCATTGTGGCCCCATCCTACCCAAAGGGGGGTTTAACTTAACCAATTTATTATACACTACATCACCAGAGAATGCTTCCATATCATCACTTTGCTGTTCTTGAGAAGATTTTAAAAGATTGTTACTTAAACCATTCCAAGTTTTCTATCTATTTTTTAAGATCCATGTGTGCCTTGGTTTTGAATCCCAATGAGAAAAGCCCTTTATTTTTCATTCAAAAGTCATGACCAAGGTCATGTTTTTGAAAAGTTTTTCATTTTCAGTTGGGTGTCATATCTGTAATCTGTTACAAATCTGTTTGCCTGTGACAAAATTTGTGCATCTCAGGCGGTTGAGCAACAGTTATTTCAAACACTGCCTTAACCATACCATCATACTTATTCATGCCTCATTGCACATAGGGGAGTGCACAGTAACTTAAACAGGTCTAGACGACAAGATTATTTGATGACACATCAGCTTAAATTTGCATGTAAATTGGCTATCAGTTTTCTTTACATAGTTTTAGACAGCAGCACAAGGTGCACAATTATCATTTAACCCCTCAATCAAATATCAAAAGTAAGACATCCAAACATCACAAGGTTTGTACGGTACGTATTGGAAGCAACTACAGTGGTACCTCATTTATCCGGACGCTTTGGTTCCTAGTCAAATTGTCCAGATATGTGAAGTGTCCGGATACCTGAATTACCAGTTAAACAAGACAAAATAACGTTGAAAATTTTCGTTTCGATGAAAAATCGTCCGAATACTGAAGCATTTGGATATCTGGCGTCCAGATATCTGAAGGTTCACTGTATTTATTATCTAAAACTACAATTTTAAATGTGAGCATCGAGCAGTGTCTTTGGAAACTAATCTTTCAATTTTGGCTGTATAAAGTAAAAAAAGAAACTCTATTGTTTTTGGTGATGAAATAAATAAAGTATGCAGTAAATCGACGAAAACCGTGTGTCGCTTCTGATTTGTATTAACAAATAGTAGACTGTCATGCTTGGGCGGCGCGTCGATTTACCCAAATGGACCCAAATGGAAATCAAATGGAATATTAAATACCTATTATCGTATTTTCATACATATTTACAGTGGACCCTCATTTATCCAGACGCTTTGGTTCCCAGTCAGTTTGTCCGTGAAGCATGCGGATATCTGAATCACCAGTTAAACAAGACAGAATAACATTTTAAAATTTCGTTCCGATGAAAAATCGTCCGGATACTGAAGCATCCGGATATCTGGCGTCCGGATATCTGAAGGTCCACTGTATAATGATGAAAATAAATGAACTTACAGTAATAAATGGATTTTTTTTCCCTATTATTCTCTAATATTGTATTTTGAAACATGAAGTTTTGATGA